CATCGTAATTTTTACGAATGGGTAGAAGCAGAAATCAAATGAACCAGCCCATCTCTATTGTCTATAGGGTGCATACAATAACACCCCCCCCCCCCCCCCACTCCCGTGTGTTAGAACTGCTGTCTAAGGCTCAAGCAGAAAGGAAACCACCTGTGTCTAAAAAACGAGCATGAAAAAACGCGGAGGGGGGGGGGGGGGGGGGATCGCTCTAGTAGCAATGATGAACTTTTATTTTAAGGGTGCGGTGGCGATCGCTTCCTGGCTATTTCGGCAAGTATTAGTGTGTTTTCAACGCGAAGAGATTGTGTAAAAAGAGCACTTTTCCCTGGAGCAGCTGTATTTGCTTACACTAGCATTTTATAGAGTTCCGCGATATCGGATCCAAAAGAGTTTGCTGCCAGCCTTACTTCATATAACATTACAATTTGTTGCTCTCGCATCATTGCGTTGCGTTCAATGCGCCGCCGTGTTGCTGCCAGGGCTAATCTCGAACTCCTTCCAGCTCGCGGCGCAAACGAAAACGCATGATGGATCGTGGTTTCGGAGAGTTTCTATCAGCGTCTAATCTGACATCCCTGAGTAGTGACGACCAAGAAGGTTTTAAAAAAATTGCTGTGGTGGAAATTATCGCCCATGAGTGAAGCCATACTCACCGTAAGATGGCAGCTGCGGCAGCCACTTACTAGGGGCATGGGGAGCTGTTGATGTTTGGCGATTGAGAAGGAGCGTTTTTCTTGCACTCCTAGCGAGTTCAACGTGGCAACCTTTTCTGGTCAGATAGTGCTTAAAGTGTGTCCTTCTGTTAATAGTTTTCTTTAGTAAGCCTAGAATTCAAAGCAAATTTTATAGGAGATTATGTCACCAACACTCGTCTGGGTGTTATTTCATCAGAAACAAATATCTCTTAATTTATGACTAACGTAACCTTCAGACTGGCAGGTCAGAGCCACTTGATGTCTAAATGGTCACCACCAGAAAATAGCATGCTTCTGAGGTCTCTGGAGGGCGAAAGTTGGCTTCACCATGGCTGGAAAAGCATTGCGGGAGCTTTCACTCCAGCAATTTTTTTAAACCTCCTTGGTGATGACACTGTTATCTGAAAAAGAAAAAAAAGGCAAAGTTGAACGTTGTCGGGGGCCGCACCATGTGTGCGCAGTGAAATCATGCAGGTGCACACGGCGTCGATAACGAAAAGCAAACGACACTTATACGGCGGAAGACTATCGCCATCACCAGCAGCGCTGACTACAAGTGACGCCGGCATACGAAACGCCAAGAAAATGCCGGCAAAACGCTGTATAGAATTGGGCCTTAAAGTGTCCTCTATATTCAGCGCCACTCCACTAATGTGAGGCTAACTAAAAGCGTGGCACTGCCAATTAAAAAGTAGGTTTTTTTCTTTTTTTGGTTTGGAGAAGGAAGGCACATCTGCACATGCACCCGCAGTGGCAAAAATGTTGGCAACACCGGCTCATGGGGCCCAGGTTCCCCTGCCCGCCTCCCGCACACCCACGCGCCTGGGAGTTGCTGGGGCTGCGGGCGCGCTGCCGCCACCTCTTTGCGTTTCGGTGGCGGCAAGGCAACCGCAACTATGTGCATGGTCGTGCCGAAATGGCGAAGTCTGGGGCGAAATTTCTAGATTGCCCATGGTGAAAATTCGTTATATCAAAGTTGCGTCTCTATGTTACTTTGTTACATAGCAGTGGTTCTATGGAGTAAAGGCCGGGAGTAGAAAAACTTCGTTATATTGAGGAATTCGTTATATAGAGGTTTGTTATAAGCAGGTATTACTTCGCAGCTGCTTGTGAGTCCATGGCCATGGCTCACGAGTTCGGAGTTATGTGTTTGGTGACATTGCTGTCCTGTTTCCTGTTCGAAAAAACTTCTTGATGCGAACCGTGGGGAAGCAAGTTGCAGTTTTGTCTGCTGACGTTGTCGTGCGTTGCATCCGCTAAGTAATGATAGTTGCACCCGGTGGCTTGTCGTTTTTGAACCTAAAACTGACACTGGTTAGTAATAATGAGCTTGTCATTAATTATGTTGCACATTGCAGAAAAGGATGTGCAGTGTTATGACGAACAGGCCCCCAGGAACACATTGCAGCAAAAAACCAGAGGCCAAAATTTGTGTGCCTACCCCTGTGAAATTCGTATAATCGGTAAATTGCGACCAACTGTAGTTGTATCATCGAAATTCTGCTGTACTAAAGCGTCCTGAAGTGGATTGCTAATTAAATGAGTGTAATTGGCACAAAAATGCGTGTTGTGAGCTGCTATAAACTACTCAATATCGAGACACTGTGATATGACTGGTCACGGCAAATTAGGGCTAATAGGTCATGCGAAATTAAGTTCAAGTTATTGTGGGTCATTTCAAAGTTGATAACGAAGCAATTTAAGGTCGTACCACTAGGATTACGTTGTAGTTTAAATATTTTGCTGCATAGAGTGCGAGAACAGTATAGCCTACATGCTCAGTCTCCCCTCCGAATGTTTTGTCACAGCGTTAAGAGGGACAAACAGCTTGGTTTGTATCTCGAGACAATGCTAATCTTGCACTAGGGAGTGAGGCTTGCTTGCTAAGGATGCCGCGCATGCACAGGTCACAGCTCTATATTTCTGCAGGCTTCATTTGCCCTCCAGCGTCCTTAGGTCTGGCGCTCTGAATTAATTTGTGGCCGCCTGTACAGTTTGTGTGAGACGCGTGTCTGTGATGTTCACAAAGAACGTGGCATGCTATCGTATTGTGATGATTGATGTTTTGCTTGCAGTGGTCAAACTAAAGCATAAATTCACTCTTAGGGATCGTTGACCTGTTTATGCAGAACGAGTACGATCATGTCACAAAGTAGCATGATTGTGCACAGCTGTACTCTTGTAACACGTATGTAGAGGCTACCCTCTACTGGAGCGAGCTTTAGACAATGGAGAGGTGTGCTAAAGTAATATGGCGGACACAGCCAATGGCAAACCTTGAAATGAATTTTTAAACGTTTGATTTTTGTACACCTGCTTCTGACTGGAGGACCTGACTGAAGCAAGAAATTTCGGGAGGGAGAAAGGCTCTTTCCGATGAGCCCAAAATGGTGGTGCTTGGTTGTGCCGTTGCGTAGCTATATATTTTTCTTTAGAATATAATTTAAATATAGTTAAGGGCCTGTGCAACTATTTGGTCTCTTTGGTTCAAAGTGTTTGATAAATATTAGAAAGTTGTTCGCTCCGCATTCCTAAGTTTTATTATTCGCACTACTCTGGTAAAAAGCCTTATCTTTTGGAGCACACCTGTTGCCAGTATGTGAGTGTCAGTTTTAAATCCAAGTTGCTAGAATAAAATCGTTTCTTAGCCGAACTGCTTGTAAAGGTGTTTCTCAATTTTCTAGTGCGTCATCTGTAGGAATTCATGAACTGAGCAAAATTGTTAAAGGTAGCTTGATTGTGACACACTGCAGAAATGTTTTTTTCAGTGTGAATAAGCCAAGCTCTTTTTGAGTGGGTTGGTACAAGCAGTGTGGATGAACTGAGTCTGTCTGTGGTAAAGTAAGAGTTTATCAATGATGAAATCATCAGGTTTCGTAGAAGCAGAAAAAAAATACAGTGGCAGATCCCATGTACAGTGGGAATCGATAATTTGTGAAGCACGAGAGCGAGGAAGTTCGATATGCCACTTTAAAATATGCACAACGTTACGAGGCAGACGTAAATTATGCTGTACATGATTTCCATGTCATGATTATCATGTTTGCACTTGTAATTGACGTCGCATAATACCAAATTTGGTATATGTTGAGCTAGCGAAACGGCTACGAGCACGCTATGAGCTTAGCATGTAGTCATGATATTCATGATACCCATGTCATGATTATCCTGTTGTGTTGTCATTCACCTTCGTCATCTATTCACGTCACGTGATACCAAATTTGGTATATGTGGAGCTTGCGAAACAGCTGCGAGCGTGCTATGAGCGTAGCATGTAGTGATGTTTCACATAACACACATGTCATGTTTATCATGTTTGGACGTGTCATTTACCTTCGTCGTCCATTCACGTCATTTAATACCAAATTTGGTATATGTTAAGCTAGTGAAAATGCTGCGAGCGCATCGTAAGCGGGGTATGTTGTCATGTTCTTACATGATGCGCATGTCATGATTGTCGTGTTTGGACGTGTCGTTTACGTTCGTGGTCAACTCACGTAACGTGATACCAAATTTGGTCCATGTGGAGCTAGAGAAACGGCTGCGAGCACGCTGTGAGCTTAGCATGTAATCATGATTTACATGATACCTATGTCATGATTATCATGTTTGGAAGCATCATTTACCTTTGTTATCCATTGGCGTCTTTTAGTACAAAATTTAGTATATGTGAAGCTAGCGAAACGGCTGCGAGCACATCATGAGTATGGCATGTAGTTATGTTCTTAAATGACACGCATCTCTTGACTATCATGTTTGCACCAGTCATATACCTTTGTCATCCATTCACATCCCATAATACCAAATTTGGTATATGTGAAGCTAGTGAAACGACCGCGAGTGCACCATGAGGGTGGCGTGTAGTCACGACTTACGTGACATGCATGTCATTATTTCCACGTTAGGGTCTGTCACTTGTGTTCGCCATGCAGGCATGTCATACCTTACCACTTTTGCAATATGTCATGTGAAGGAAACCACCGCAAAAGTATCAACATCATGGAGTGTAAATCATGACATTGATGACCTATATGTCATGGTTTCCATGTTATGACTTGTCACTTATGCTCGTCATACAGCCATGTTATGCCATAGCAATTTTAGTATCGATACCATTATTGAAACGGCCAGGATAGCTAAATGTTGTTAGTGGACAGACATACAGACAGACAGACAGACAGACTCAAAGTCGCCCAAGTTTGCTAAGAAATGTTTTACATTTAAATGTGCTTATTGTGTTGTGTATTTTGTGAATAGCTTTAATATAACCCCACTCTTTACTTCTTCTGTTGTGTGTCATTTCAGGAGGAACAAGGAGGATGGCAAATCTGATGCTGGTGTTGTTCCAGAGCATGTCATACAGCTGTGCAAGAGTGTCTCAGACATACAGTTAATCTCAAAGTTAAAAAGGAAGGGCAAGCATCACAATATCGATATGGTCACTGCCATTAATCGAGCTGCTTCAGAGTTGAGTCTGCCAGGCTTTCCTAGAACTGACACACATGAGATCTTGTTTCACGTGCTTCCATTTCTTGGGATGCCGCAGCAAGCCAATGAAACTCTGCCTTCGAAGAAAGAAATTTCGCAAGCCGTCGCTTTTGGAAAGGCCACTGCAAGTCAACCTCACGCCCGGGAGCAAGACAGTTCATCCGTCATGCACACATTGACCTCTAAAAGAAAAAGTTTATGTACCATGACCAGTCTCCCTGTTCAGGACACTTCGGTGGTGAAGGTGCATGATGCTGTTTCTGGTAAAACTGTGGTCGTTACTTCCGCATGCAATGTTGTTGTGGAACTCGACAAGTTAACCCCAGAGGAAACAGCCTCCTTCACTTCTTGTAAGCACCGGTCATCTGTGCAGAACAAAACAGTGCAAAAACACAAAGCTGGTGATTGCTGCTTCCAAGAGACTGGTGAACCAAAGTCACTGCATGGGCAATCCCAGGGACAGAATTCACTCCAATCGTGTAGTAAGCAAAACACTGAGGACTTCAGAAGTGGTGCATCAAACACTGGTGTACCTGTGCATCGAAAAAGTCCCTGCCGAAGCGACTCTAGTTGGTCTGACCATGAACTTTCGCCATCTCTGTTAAAGCCTGAGCTGTGTCAAAGTAAGCAGTTGTTGCCACCTTCGCCGAAGGAATCATGTGAGGGAACACGTAGCGAGCGCCTAGGTGTTGGGATTGAAAATCCTGTAAAGGAAGAATTCACTGACCAGCCGAGAGATAAGCACTTGCTATCAGCCACTACAGATCCTGAAAAGAGTTCGCAAGAGCAACGCCGGGTGTCTGACGATAGAAATGTGCATTTTCAGCATTCTCCGGAAGACACTAAAAGGCACATTGTCCGTTCGGTCAGCCCTGATGCGTCGCATCCTCCAAAGAGGCAAAGGATGCGGTTTACAACACTGCAAGAAGAAGCACTTGTATATGGAGTAATGAAGTATGGCAGAGGAAGCTGGAAAGAAATCAGTGAAGATGGCTGGTTCGATGGGCGCCGTACAACAGATCTCAGTGACAAGTACAGAAACTTGGAAAAGTATGGCCATCTTCCGAAAATCAAGAGACGTGTGTGTGATATGCTTAGTGCTGGTGTGAATCCCCTGAAGAAACTGCGTGCGCTGGTTGATCAGCAGCGGTTGCAGCGAGCAAACTCACCAGTGGCAGACGAACTGCTGCATTGCAAAGAGAGTTCTGCGAGCCAGTCGAAGGAGTTACGAGGAACTTCGCCAGTATGCGACCCTCCTGATGGGGACAGCTCAACTGCATCATCTGATGAAGCCTTTGCTGAGCCATTACAAAAGCGAGCCGGAACTGGAGGAGCAGCCGATCAGCAGCGGTTACAGCAAGCAAACTCACCAGTGGCAGATGAGCTGCTGCATTGCAAGGAGAGTTCTGCGAGCCAGTTGAAGGAGTTACGAAGAACTTCGCCAGTATGCCGCCCTCCCGATGGGGACAGCTTAACTACATCATCTGATCATGCCTTTGCAGAGTCATTACAAAAGCAAGCCAGAACTGGAGGAGCAGTCGCCTTGCCAAAGACAGTGTGCAGCAGCCCCTGCAGGCCGTCTACATCGCAAGCACATTCGTCTGCGCAAAGCCAACAAAATTCAGGTTCTGAGACGAATGTGCCGCAGGAAGTTGTCCTGGCTAAGTGTAAAGAAAAGCGGCGAAGAGTACCCTTCACGCCACTGGAAGAGCTGGCACTCGTGGCTGGAGTTATGAAGTTTGGTAAAGGCAACTGGTTCCGAATAGCGAAAGAAGGTGGCTTCCTCGGGAGAACAAGCATTCAGTTAAGTGACAAGTATCGCAACTTGAAGCTGTATCGCCAGCTGGATGCAATTGAGAGGATCGTGAAATCTAAGCGTGAGAGGGGTGAGGATCCCTTGGAAGAGCTCCGAAGGTTATCAGCTGCTCACTGGAAGCGGTGACACAAGGCAAAATGAGCACTTCGAGATGTTAAATTTTTTAATCTTAAAGCCACCTTTTCAAATTAATTTTTTTTTAATTTTTGAGGCAAGACATTTAGTTAAGAAAATTCAAAGTGTACTTGTTGGAAATTGTGTTTTTGTGTGTGTTGAAAAATATGGCTATGTACAGCCACCTGTTTAAATAAATCCATTTTTATTTTGCAACTATCAAGAATTTTAATTCAGGCAATTCAGGCTGCAATTTTGTTTTTGTGTTTTATGTTTATGTTGAAGAATATGGCAACGTAGTCGTATCATTATAGGGCATCAAACGTTCCACTTCAAAGGGCCCTAAACCAGCCAGAGGTCAAAACTCACTTGTGGTGTGGAAGTTGTGCACAAGTATACAATGAACAAGTAGCTGTGAGAATTTTTTGAAAGTGTGCCGTAGTAGCAGAGTTACTCTTGTTCAATGATTTGAACATGGTGATCGCTTGTTCCTTCGCTACCCGCTGCTTGTTGGCAGGGCTCTTAACCAAAACTGTTTCGTTCACCAAGTGCTCTTCCCATGGTAATGTGACAAACCATAATCGCTGGTGTGCTCTTCAAAATGGCCTGCACCTCTAGTTGCTGCGAGTTCCTGAACAATGTCTTTCTCGACGAGCCGGCGCGTGCTCTTGAAATTTGTGCCAGTATGGACCCTGCATTGTGTTGTATGCGTCTTCACAGGATTGGCAACATGATGGAGTCATATGATGGCACGCCGTGCCGAAGCGCCCCCGCTCAAGATGAGGAGCTGTCTTCTCTGCCTTCCCAAGATAGTGGTGAAAGTGCGGGTGGGCACACTCTTTAGATTCTGTTCGTTCAGCTTATTAGGCCACTAAGCATGAGTGTGTTGGTACGCTAGTAATCTGGTAATTGTTTCATGCGGAAGTTGATGATCTCAAGTACAAACACTTGGGTAGCACGACCAGAAAGCATAGGTTTGAGTTTGATCAATCGCATCATCGCTTCCAGATCAGTTCACAGATTCAACTTGTCAATCTAACACATGTTACTGGGGAGGCAAAAAAAATTAGAGAAGAGGAGGAGTTTCTTGGAATTCGTGATGCACCCGCGTCTTATAGCACTGCTCCGTGTGGTATCATTGGTCATGCTGGCATTCTGCACAGGACGTGCGTATTTACTTGGAATTTTTGCGGAAATGTCGTAGGTGGTTTAGAGGCCATTAAGGCTTAATTATGATTCAGTTGAAGGCACCAGGGAGTTTTTCGCATATGTATATGATTGGCCGAGTTGTATACAACTTGCTGCTTCACTGTAAAAAGTGTGCATGCTAGCATTATGGAGCCCTGAATTAGGATGTTCTGGGAGCTTTTGAATGTTGTGCACAGTATCACACTATATGTATATATACCCTTTTTCAATATATATATATATATATATATATATATATATATATGTATATATATGTGACACTAGATGCGGGAGACGTGGCCTAGCTCCTACCCCATGTTTATTCTATTCTGATCTTCTTTCTTCTCTGCCTCTACCTAATCATCGCTACCTTCTTACGTTACAGGATTCCCCCTCCCCCCGAAAGAAGTCGTGTCAGACGAACAGAAATTAAAACTGAACATGCAGGGCTTAGAACTGTGCACTGTCAAAAAAAGATCATTTCAAGTCCGAGGAAGTTTCCGTTAACACACTATAGCTTCACAGGAGAGGACAGCAATCCGGGGTATTAAGTACAGCTCTGGAGGGCAAGGCTGGCTGTTGCGCTCTGGACAACATAAGCATGCTTTGAGCGTGAAATCGGATGGAAACACAGCCGGTATCCTTGCGATAAATGAACGTGGTGTGATGGCCTTGAAACATCGGCTGGATGATTTGCGCAGGTGTCGTGCTATTTGTCTTGATTGGAACCCATGCGTCGCCACCCGTTTGCGTGCTTGTTCACCGAGGCTGGTGCGGTGATTTCTGCGTCCTTGCGGAATACAGGGTATGGTTTGGCGCCTTTCTCGACGTTGTATGTCGTGTTGCCCGAGTCTTGATCTCGACTGGAAAAAGCTAACTCGACGTCCCTTGGGAAAATATCCTGCATTTGATGCTTTCTTTGTTTCGAGCGAGAAATCTTGAATATGTCGTTGGTTTGGTTGACACATTTGTAAACGGCTTTCCATAAACCGCGTGTGTTCTTCCGAAGATGATTCCATTCTTCGTTGTCCTTGTTCGTATAGCCCTTGGAATCTCTGTTGTTCTTGGACTTGCTGGAATTGATGATGTTGCTGCGAAAAGACCTGAGGTGGCAGCCCTTTTTCACCATGACACTGACTTTCTGGGCAATTGAATGTGTTGCCGAGTGGGCAGGTAGTAGTCTCTAGGCTGTTGTGCTGCATTTCGGGTAATGAAGGTAATGCTTCAGAGTTGACAGATACATCATCCGGGGCTTCTTCTTCGCTGGTCGCTGCGAGTGGTTCTTGCTCCTGAATCTGGATGGTAGGTTCAGGGCTTGGCTGAGTATTCTCCGAGCTTCGCAGCTCTATCCCGACCATTGTGAGCGTGCTAGATGTGAGGTGGGCGTTGTGAGCGACCAAAGAGCCAAGTGGCTGAAAACCAGGAGGTATCCCAATTGTGCTAGATGGGAAATAAGCTGATCCAATGTGTGAAGACTGATTTTCACTCTTTGAGTCGTCATGGCGTTGTTCGGCATTTTCCTCATGTGTCAGCTGGTCTACCATGAACAAGGCGTCCTTATGACACGAATAGTGACCGTTAGGAGCCTTTGAAGAGCTGCGTCGCAGAAAACCAGGTGGTGGACCATGTATGCGAGACGAAGCATGAAAGGCATCAGTAGGGTGAGCGACATCTCGTGTCGTATGTTGGTGCCACGACTTTGGAAATGCCGACTTTCGTGCACAAGGGAGCTGCGCTTGACAGTTGGGTTTTTCCCAATATACGCATGGCCTTCTGTAAGTAAACGCATGTGCCACTTCGTCTTGAGGCACTTGTCGATTCGCACTGGACTTTCGAATGCTTCAGGACTGCTTAGGAAATTTACGATAGTGTGCAGTTGTCTCTAGATGGTTGGCAATGAGTAAGTCTTGGTCATAGTCAATAAAATGGGTAATCATCTCCTCTTTGATTTTTCGCCATGACCCCTTGTTCTCGAATATGTGAATTAGGTAAAATTTGAATGCCTCACCGGTGACGTAGCCGCTGAAGTTCGTAACCATCTCCCGTTCCGACCAAGATGCAGCGGTAGCGTGGAGTTCGAACAGGTTGAACCAGTCCTGTACGGGTCCGTCGTCCGCTGATTCGGTGTACTTGGGGATGTCGAGGTCAGCCGATAGTTCTGTCATGGTGCTGGTCGTTGTCCTCCTAGGCGATGATTCGGTAGTCAATGTACGGTCAGGGCATCTTCTGGGGAACTGCGTCGATGATGAGTGACTGATGAAGGGGCAGGCAGGTCTCCATACTGTCGACTTGTGTGACGCTAGATGCAGGAGACGTGGCCTGGCTCATACCCCATGTTTATTCTATTCTGATCTTCTTCCTTCTCTGCCTCTACCTAACCATCGCTACCTTCTTACGTTATATATATACACACATACATATGGCTGCCGGGAGGCCCCAATGTTTAATTTAAATTGGGGAGCAAGTGGCCATTGTCCATTGTCGCAAGAGGTTGGTGCATGGGAAAAAGTCCGGTGTTGTCATGTGATGTAAGAACATTGCGAACAGGAGCTGCAGCAGTGCAAGGGGCATGATGAAAACATCACGTCTTCATTGAAGGGCTTGCGTCTGGTACTGTTTACCAGAGTGGTAGCGGGAACTCAGGAAGTGTTTGCAGAATATGAGAGTCCGATGTCTTTTGCTGTGCTCTGCTGGTTGTTATCACTGTCTGGACCAATCCCCATATTATTTGGGGCCCTGGCCAGCCCACTGTGCTCCTGAACCTTGCCGGATTCTCGGGGTTCCACGGCACTGGAAGCTCCATGGAAAATGATTGTTTGGCATCTCTTTATACACGTGAATAAAGCTTCATAATTTATTTGAAATGCAGTGTCGCGCCCATTTTCAGTCTGTATGTGTACAAAACATTGATTGCTTAGTTAACTAAGTAACCAACAGTGGAATAATAATGCCAGACTTTTTTTCGGGCCAATGTAGCTACAGTGCTAGTGTTACACTTATTTGGCTATTATGCAGGCATAGAGAATGAAAGTGACGACTTGGCACAGGCTTTTTTCTAGCAATACGTCTGCTACATTAGGGCATTTTTTTTTTTGACATTGGCTCACCAGTCAAATGAGCTGCACTTGTCCTGTACGCCAAGGTATAAGGCCAACCACAGGCGTCTACTAAATGGGGCCAGTGGGGCACATGCCCCCACAGAGCTTTCCGGTAAGGGTAATGCCCCCAGTGGCACTTTAAAAGACTTATTTTGTGCTCAAGCTGAAGACACTTATTATCGTGTCCGGAACTGGTCTCTACAGAAACAATCTTTATTGCTTGACGAAGCAAGAAAGATCACTGAAGCTACTAGAGAGAGTATTAGAGAGAGTTGGCAAAGCTTTTCCCACTTTTGAGCCGAGAGCCCGCCGAAGCTAGGCAACTTTAGATTGCAGAGTCTTCGATCTCAGCTTCAACAGGGGTGTGGGGGGGTAAGCCGCTACCATGATGGAACCACTTGTCATGTGTTTTGTTCTCCTGAAGGCATGCACCGCCAGTTGTACTACAACGCAGTGCGCTTGGTGTTTTCCTTCTTAAAGACCGATATCCCGTTTACACAACGCAAGTGCGTCAACATTGCACGTTCCGACAACACACGATGCCCCAGTTTTACGGGTCAGACTTTCAAGATGAGTGCCTGAGCCTCACTAGGACATACTGTTTGACATTACAAGGCAGTGAAATAAACCTCCAGTCAGAACACTTAAGATGTTCAGATGTTCACAGGTGAAAGTGGCGAGCACCTGAAAACGCTGCTTCCGAAGTCGGGCACAGTAGGCTGCGTGCGAAAGCTCGCATTGGACTAGAGAAGTAACCTGTGTATTTGACACCATTCCCTGAGAGCGTTTGTATAGTAGTTGGTTCCTCAATATATTGGTGCAACACAGTCTGGCCACTGAGTTAGACGGTGCCTTGTTTCGAAAACTAATGCGCTTATTGGGGTGGCAGGTGGAAAATTTGTTGTTTACACATTGCAGAATTATATTGTAA